ATGATGACGGTGATGATGAATGCACAGATTCAGAAAATGAAAAAGTTGAGTTCATTTTTGGTACTTGCGAGACAATTGAAGCCAGAGATAACACCATTGATGACGATTATGACGCAGATATAGATGATGATGGTAGCAGTTCAAAAGGAGATTCCTCTGATAGTAATTCAAGGAAACACGGACGCGAGGATGATGATGATGATCTGAGTATGTTGTCATCAAATGATGCGGATTCTGTAGTTTTGAATAATATTTCTTTGGAGTCATCCGATGATATTTTGAGAAAACACGGATGCGATGAGACTATGTTGTTGAATGAGATTGATACCGTTTCATCTCTATTCAAGAGTTTCAAACGACAAAGGTGTTACTAGATGGGTTCTTGCTTTGTATGAATTGATGTGATTTAAAATTTATTATGTTTGATATGTATATATTATCTTAAAGTAGTTATTCATTTCTTTTTAGACTTCTTAGCAAAACATTATATTATTCGCATTCTTGGATTTCGTACTGAGATTATGATATTATGGGTTTATCATTTATTGAAACATAGCGTCATTATGTATATATTCATCCGAAATCTGAGAATGCTGATTATCTTGGTATGTTGTTGCGCGGAAAGCACAGGCTCTGGTCAAAGTGGAACTCTGACCTTTAGAAATGATCATTTTGAATTCAAAGCATATTTAAAAAAAAAAAAAAAATTTTGGAATATTTGGAAATTATTGAATGAATGATGTTCTAGGGTTAGAAGTGCCAAAAACGTCAATTTTCTTTGCAAACATGATATGGCGTAAATGGCAATTTTGATGTAAATTTCGTAGAAAACTCTTCGATGATTAGTTTCATCTTATGAAAGAATATCTTTAAGAGAATCTTTGTATTCAATCATTAGTAATAGAATAAATAGGTATATATGTTAATTATAAAGATTATATTTTACTGTATGTAACAATCCAAATTATATATAAAATTATACAATAAATAAGCTGTATGATCCATTACATATATTGAACTTTTATTGATAATAACTAAGAACAAGATTTCTATTCGTAATCCTTTTGACTATATCAAATCTTTTTCTGCAAAATTCTCGATATAATGATAAATTAAAAATAATTACAATTTATTTAAGAATTTTAATACTGATACTGCAACTTTCTCCATGCATTAATCAATGCATTGACCTAAATGCATTAATCTAACACTTATTGCAAACCTTAGCGACTATCTGATTCTAGAAATAAATTAACCCAAGTAAGTACTAGCGAAACAAGGCGTGATTACAAGCACATATATACTACGTACGTATATATGCACGGAGGTAAAGGAGTATGAGATAAGAAAAGTAGGAATGGTAAAAAATGTGGAATTTTTATACCGTTTTGAGTGATCGCGTGATTACACATTGTTTACTTGGCCAAATATTCCCACGTCTCACCGGCATAATGCATTTATCCTTATACTTACTTTATACTACTGTACTATAAAATAATAAATAATAAATTTTCCTGCGTGCACACACTTTAGCGATTCTGATTGGTCGTGTTAAGTTGGTAATTTGCAAAAACCAAAGTTTGTTCATTAGTTTATAATAAAAAAAACACATCCACTTTCTAACAACTTTTTCTTTCATTCATGAATCTTCTTGAGTCCACTGCGTATAAATTAGTAGTCCCGTTATAATATGCATTAACAGATGTGATTTATCATCAAATCATTGGTCGACCTGGTCGTTAATTAAAGTGTCTCTAAACTGGGTCTAGGCAGAATATTGAATAGAATAACCTTTTGTGACTTTGATTTCTGTATCTAAGAACTTATTTGACACGAACTAAAAAAAAAACAGACCCGAATTGACTTCGAAAAATATTGAAATGCCGTTTAAAAAAATCTAATTCGGGGTTACCAGCAAGTTAATTGTTAGTATACCAGGGTAACAGGTAACGGTAAGGTATAATCCTTGCAAATGATATGATTTGATTGGTTAAGGTACTATCATGTGATACAAATATATACAATGAACCTTCTCTAAAGCACAATCTCTCTAAATGCACTTTAATTCCGGTCCAAATTTATACTGACCTTCATAAGTGCACTCTTTCTTATTGTTCTCTAGGTGCATGCTGTTAAAGTTTGGTCTTGTAAGGTACATTTAGAGAGGTCTGACTGTATCTTTATGACCTACTCGCGGATAACTCGGATATGGGTCCAATCCTTAATTTATCTAAATAATTATTGATTTTTGTTTTTAAGGATTGGATAAGAGTATAAAATTTGAACTTGCGCTTAAGACGATTGCGAAAGTAAATTTTATTTTCATAAATTAATTTCAATGTGCGCTTAGTGCACATTATTTTTTTAACGATGTGCACTAAAATTTATTTATAATTCAAATTTCCAGTATTATCAAAAACTAAATCATGTTGCAGCAATGGGTGTTTCACTTGGAACTTCACCAAAGTTTCAATATTAACAAATAAGTGGCGCATTTCGAAAATAAGTAGGATTTTTTCAATAGTATTTTTACTAAGTTGAATTATGAATCGGAAAAATAAAAGATTCACTGATTTTCATTTTGAAACGCCCCAATAGTGGGCAGCGCGTTTTTCTTGTAATTTAAAGTAAAAATTTTGTTTTTATAGATTATATTTAAAGCACATAAAATGAATCAATATTCATATAGCGCACACAATTTAAGGCTTGTATTTTATACTGGATCCATTTAATATTTACTGTATCTGTGTTATCTACATAAAAAGGTTAAATATTAATTAATTTATTTTTTTGTAAATACGAATAGAAATACAAATGATGGAGAGAAATAAATATTGCAGACAATAGAGTTATATCAGAACAGAAAGTTGTAAAATCATGTGATTGCACTCTCAAAGATTCTGTAGCGGATTTTAGTGTTAGGGTAGTTAGATCATGTGTTACAATGTGAAAATCACGTTTTAATTTGCAATGAAGCAGAAATATAAACTTTATTAACTTTAAATATGTAATATCGAATATGAATTTTAAATTACAGAGGAAAATATCGTATATATATTTATAAATGTTTAATTTAAGCAAATTTTTTTACATTTATTTGCTGTATTGCTAAGTTTTGTAGTCCATTTGCATGCATTCTTTCTAGTCTTTTGTATTCGTTTAGGGCAGCTTGTAGACATTTGAGGCATCTGTGGTCAAAGCTTAAGAGTTGGAAGTTTTTCCAAGAGGCTGCACGACTTATTGCGACATAAGCTTGACCTTTAGCGAATATAGGGTCATTGATGCTAGTGGTTACATGCGGTAAGATTGGGCCTTGTACTTTGTGAATAGTGAGGGAAAAGGCGTTTTGGAGTGGAAATTGTTGCCTTGAAGCTCTTATGCTATTAATTTCAAAATAGGTAATTCTTTTTAAACTATTACTTTGTTTATAGCATTGAGGGTTTGAAAAGTAACTTCAATATTTTCATTATCAATAGCTTCTATTACACTTCTAATAGTTCTATTGCAGATTTCTTTTTCGAACAGTTTATTGTTTAGAAACAACACAAATTGAGATAGATTTGTAGTATATTTGAAATTAGATATTGAATAGTTTTTATCTAGGATTTTGAAATTTAATGTATTAGTAGATTTAGAGAAGTTAGGTTTGTTGCAAGTATTATTATAAAGTAGGTTTTATAGAGCAATTTATTTATATTGTTTTGTAGCTTGTTGGGTTAGTACTATGTAAATGGTATTATAAAAATTGTCAAGGTAAATATTAGTATAATAAATAATAAAAATTATTATATTAATTTGATAATAAATTAATTAAATTTTTGATTATAAAATTTTAATTATGAGGGTGTGGTAACTTAGTAAAGTGGTAGAGTTGTCACACCCCCAAATGGCAGATCTAGAGTTCGAATTCCACAGATAATGTTTTTAAAAAATAACTCTGTAATATGGTTAATAGCTATTTAACAATTAGTAGAATCTAGAAATTTGTAACCTTGGTTACACCATCTAGAATAAAAGCTTTGGTGCAATAAACCTAAGGTATTAGAATAATCAAAAATCTATTTGGCAAGTTCCAAGTTAGAAGATAGCACAATCTTCAACAGTACTACAAGAGAATCAAATTTGGAACCAGAAACTAAGATTAGAAAACCAAGTAACCAGATTCTTAAGTAGAAAGACATACTAGCCAAACTACTAGGTTACCAAATTAAAAAAAAAAGACATGTGTTCTGGATATATATATCAAGAGAAGAAAGACCATATAGATACTTAAGGTCTGAGTAAATTAATTTTTCTAAGTTGCTAGCTAGAAGTAAGAAAGAGACCAGTAAAAAATCTGAAAAAGAAGGAAAGTTCAAATATAGATACTAGAGTTGTGTGAACCCAAATACAAAAACAAGAAGTAAGTAACTAACTACTAATATAAAAAAGTTGTGATTTAAAATATGGATTGGGTTATCCCTTAAACTGTAAGCAATTCCAGGCAAATTTGCCTGAAAAATTGCTATAAATTTGTTTATGATTTATTTTTTTTAAAATTTAAAATATTTAAATAAAATTTTTTTTGATAATAT